GACAGTTAGCGATTTTTAAACACTTTGAGACCAGTTCCACTACACTTTAATTGCAGTGCTGTTCTGAGAAGTACTTCGAAGCATGTTCGATGGGCGGGTGGATTTGCGAGAATCCAGAGTGACTGGTGGGTGGCAAGATATTGGACATGCCTTCAAGTGCCGTTCGCATCGCATCCAGTAAATAATAAGAAAATTCCTGTGCGCCTTGGCATTTCCGCAACGCCAACATCCTCATCGTTCCCATCACCCATCATCCCACCATCAGTCCGGACTCCGGAGACACAAAACTATGTGGCGCAGTCCCAAGGATCCGCCACAGTTTAGCTCCCCTGCCCAGAAAAACAAAAACGGAATGAGTGGTGCGTCAAAATGGCATTTCAAGTTCAAGCGGATTGGAAAAATCGAAAAAGTTTTCGATTGGATAAGGGGCGAACAACACAACCGAGACGCAGTCGAGCAAATGCAATAAACTTCAAGTTTATTAAATTTTATCACACTTACAGTATGCCTTCGACTTATGGACTGCATGCATGTACATAGGTATACAGAGGCCATTGGCAATTGTTCGCCGGGAATCAAACTGCCAAAAGACCAGACCGTACAGAAACGCAGAGTGTAAATTCGAATGGCAGCCCAATCAATGCCAAATCGAATCAACTGGGCCAGTTCCACCAACTGAATCTACAATGAACTTGCACGAGCCCATTCCAATCAAAAAGTAAAAGTAATACAAATTGAATTACTTAGGTAGATATGGATATTTGTACCAGCATAATACGGCTATTATGTCGGTGGGTTAGGGCGAAGCTCATAAGGAATTCCAATGAGATGCGGCTCAAGGTTGCTGATGTCATCATAGATATATAGAAATATTTTTAAAACAAGTCCTTAAATGCATGCCAGGCATTTAAGGATCAACGAGCCAATTATGAGTGAACCCATTTCCTACTGAATTTTCGGAACTCAATTCAGTTCCCCTTGCGAAAATTGCGAAATGGCAAATGGTGGGAACGTAACTACAAAACCGATTTGTTTCGTATTACCAAACTTTCACCGGAAAAAGAAAGCAATGGGGTTTTGGGGTTTTCCAGTTCCGCTTCGTTGGGGTCCTTGCGGTTGGGTCAATGTATCTGTATCCGTATCCGTATCTGTATCTGTAGCTGTATTCGCATCCGTGTCCGTGCGCCTTGTACAAGCGAAGTGAGACATATGTACAGTAACAAATCAATTTTAGTGGCAAACACAGACAGTGGTTTAAGGTGCGGAAAGAGCAAAGTGGGTGCCCATTGGCGGTCGGTTGGGTGGGTGGCTTCGGCATGTGGCTGCTGGTGGCCAAACTCGTTTTCGGGGCATATTACTTCCGCCGAACTTGATTGAACTGCTCTGGCACGGACTGCTAGCTGGCAGAAAGCGAAATTCATCAACGCACCACCGCCCGAAATCCTATGTCCCCCCGCATTCCCTTCTACTCCTTTCAAATGCCCCATGTCAAATGACCCCCGCTGACCCCACAGCCCCACTGGTACCGTGTAAAAACCACGGACCCCTGTCACTTTTGATTGTAATCGAGTGTTTTTATTGTCGCTCTCGCTCTCGCTATCGCTTTTCCACTGCCTTCAGTGTCTTCATCTAGGTACACTGGCAGAAATAAACGGCTAGCCAGCTGCTTGGATTAGGTTTTGATTGAGTTTGCGATCTATAAGTTACACAGCTGCTAGAATCGTCAAATATCTGACCATCAATATAAGACATAGTTTTTTTTTTTTAATTTTGTAGCACCTCTATGTAGAATTATAATGTTTTTCCTTCAGTAATAAATCATAGGCAATTTTGAACAACGAAATATGAGCAACGCCAAATGTACATTTTATAAATTATTTTGTTTCATCCAATATTTCTTTATGTATTTGCGCCATGGCACACAGTTTGATATACTTTACGAACTGCCCCGCAAAGCCACATTCGCATCCGCATCCAGAGTCCGCATTCGCATCCGCATCCGCATCCTCATCGTGCTCGTCGTCCTCGATCTCGGCGTATGTTTGCCAATTGGATTTGACATTTTATTGGGTTTTCCTTCGCTCTCGTTACTGCCACTCCACTGGCTCCACGATTGCTGCTGTTGTTGCTGTTGATATTGTTGCCGTAATTGATGTGCCTGATGTGCTGCCATTTCGCCCAAGTTGCTGCCAACATAAATCCACGCTGTCCTTTATGCCCCGGACTTCATGGATGCCCTGGGTAACCACGACATCGCGAGTTACTCAGTTACTCAGCTACTCAGTTACTGAGTTCCTGAGGGCTACATGGGCTTATGGACAGGGAAGTGGACAAATTGAAGTCGCGTGGCTCGCTTTTATTTGGGTAATTAGTACAAGGCAACTTGATTATCGCGCTATCTCCACGAACGCTGCCCAGTTGCCCAGGAATTGGTAAGCAAAGCAGTGTAGCCGGCTTAATAGGCGGCTATAACTCCGCCTCTCCCGCTGGCTGGTGGAATGTCCTGCAGGACTTTAACTGAGTAACAGGTCGGATGACACTGACAGCATCGGTTCCCGCGGGAAATTGGCCTCGCAGCTGGGCCACCCAATCGCATCGCATACAAGCTCAAGTGCCCTAATTAATAAATTGAGCCAGGGTCCTTCCACTGGGTGTTGGTATCTAACCAACCAAGGCGACATCCCATTAATTTGGTTGGCAATTTAAGCCAACTTATGCCAATAACAACCTTAGAAATTGAATCAAAAGAGTAAAAACTGTCTTGAAACACAAATCCTGTTCTTAACACTATGCTCCATGTTTTTGGTGAATTTTTGATTATGTAGGTTAGGAGAATGAAGAAGGAATAAATGTAACTCAAGGTAACTGATGTTAATATTGGGAATTGGGCAATTTTATTTTATAAAATTTCCATAAATCAATAAATCGATTGGTACGAGGCATGGCATTCCATATTTGCACAATTATTGGTTGTCAACCTTATCGTACATACGAAAATAAGAGCGGATTGGCAGGCGCAGGGCCAGCATGCGGTCACGATTCATCCGATAGATGTGATCATGTATCAACTGGTCAATGTTCTGGCGAATCTCGTTGCGATCCTCGAAGACCTCGCGCAGCTGATTCAAGACGCACGCACCATCGACTCCTGGCAGTGCCTCCTCATCGATCAGACTCATTTGGGCAGTGCCCATGTCGACCATGGTCTCGGCAATCAGATCAATGTCGCTATCAACTTTGAACCACGAGAGGTACTTCTCCTCCTGACTTCCTGACTGGACTTCGCCTTCCTCCTCCGATTTCGATTCCTCTTTGGTTGGATGTGCTTCATCCATTTCTTGAGTCTCACCTTTTTCGACCTTCACAACGCATCCTTTAGCACTGCCCTCTTGGTAGCTTTGCAAACTGTAACCACCACTTGGAGGCGTCGGGTGCTCCGTTTCCATTACCAAAAAGCCCTTGGTAATGGGAACGTTGGGCTTCTTAGGCTCGACAGCATTGAGCGATCCCTCTGACTGAGCCGAAGACTGAGCAGCTCCGTACTCCATTTGGATGTTCTTCATCAAGTCGAAGGCCAACACGACGCGGGAGATCTTTCCCACGAACAGCGGTGGTGTGATGGCACAGTTGTGCTGCGGTTGTGGAGGACTGAAACGACCCATGTAGCCCATGAACCACAGCTCCGAAAGACTTCCCGGCTTGAAGACGCAGCCGGACTCGAATCCCTTGGGCAAGAAGCGCCTGGGCAGAAAGATTGGCCGATTGACGCCCTCACAGATGGGGAAGACATCGCTGGGCAGCTCGAACTTGGGGCACTCCTCATCGCCCATGGTGGCGAGTGCCACCGAGGGAACATGCGGATTGTTGACGGTGGACAGAATGGCCACCGTTAGTTTGCGCTGGTGCGGCATCATCATCAGCACATTGGACAGATCCGGGGTGTATATGTTGTACTGCACCGGGACATGGCGATAGGGATAGGGCGACGGTGGAGTCGGTGGAGCCGGCAAGTTGTAGGCCATCGACAAGGACAAGTCATTGCGAAGCATTAGTTCCTGTGCCTGTTCCTCTTTTAAAAGCTGATTGGAGCGACGCATCCCGTACACCAATGTGTCCTGGGTGGCCGGGAACTCGCCCATCTTGTCCAGGAAACTCTCGATCTCCGACGGCAGCTGGACGTACAGCCTGCGCAGACCGACGAACAGCGGTGGCGATTGACCCTTGTGACCCGAGGCCGTCAGGTCGATGGGATAGGAACGCCGTGGCAGAACACCCGGGCCAAAAACGCCTCCGGCTTCAAAGCCCATGGGCAACATCACCGGGGGCATGAAGACGATCTTGTTCAGCGGCGCCTCACCCGGGAACATGGAAGCCGGCACCTCGAAGCAGGGCGTCTGGAAGCCCTCGAAGAACTCGGCTGCCTGCTTGTCGTGCTTGTGGACATTGGAGTAGAGCCGGGCCACCACGATTCTGTTATGGCTGTGGTAGAACGACTTCGGCATGACCAGGTTGAACAGGTAGGGCAAGTACTTGGTCTTCTTCAGTTCCACCACCTGGCCTTCCTCCCGATTCCCCGACGCTACTTGCAGCATTTCGCTTTCCGATTGTTAGCTGAGTTTAAACTAATTTTGATGTTTAGGCCGCTCAGGAACTTATTTTCTACTCACTGGGTAATAAATTTATCACAGTTCCTTATGTGACATTTGAGATTGTCAAGCAAAGAATGGACGTATTTTACAAAAGCAGAGAAGATCAGTGGGAAAATATATACTATATATGTTGTTTTTATTATTATTATTTTCATTAAGGCATAAAAAAGGCATATATTAAAGAAGATCGCAGAATGGGGTGTCTTCTGTTAAGATATTTGTATATAATTATTTATATATTTATTTACATATTCATTTTATATATTTATAACATATCACATAAAAAAAAATGAGCAATGAAGTAATGCTGCGTATGAAACAATGAGTTCTCACTTTCTCTCTGTACTCCAGGATTATCCGACACAAAGCTGCACGAGATCTACCTGGACGACAAGGAGATTAAGCTGAGCTGGATGGTGGACTGGTACAAGCAGGAGGTGCTCTTCCACCTGCAGAATGCTTTCAACGAGCAGCACCGCTGGTTCTATCTGGGATTCTCGAAGCGCGGCGGCTTGGCGGATGCGGATATTTGCTTCTTCGAGAATCAGAATGGGTTCTTCAACGCGGTAACCGATACGTACACCAGTCCGGATGGGCGGTGGGTGAGGCGGGACTACCAGCAGGACTGCGAGGTCTTCAAGATGGATGAGTTCACGCTGGCCTTTAGGCGCAAGTTCGACACCTGCGACCCTTTGGATCTGCGACTCCATGTGAGCTGATCCTGGGCAGTCCGAGCTCCGTGGATATTCATGTGTGTGTTTTGCAGGAGGGCACTATGTACGTGGTTTGGGCCCGTGGTGAAACGGAGCTGGCTCTGGAGGATCACCAGTTCGCGCTGCCCAATGTGACTGCTCCGCATGAGGCGGGTGTTAAGATGCTGCAGCTGCTCCGTGCCGACAAGATACTGATACCCGAGACGTAAGTGGCTGATTATATCGATGTGGGAATATAACTGAACTGCTTAACCCGCCAGCGAGCTGGATCACATGGAGATCACCCTGCAGGAGGCGCCGATTCCCAGCCAGGAGACCACCTACTGGTGTCACGTTCAGCGACTGGAGGGCAATCTCCGGCGACGCCATCACATCGTCCAGTTCGAGCCGCTCATCCGGACGCCGGGCATCGTGCACCACATGGAAGTGTTCCACTGCGAGGCCGGCGAGCACGAGGAGATTCCCCTGTACAACGGCGACTGCGAACAGATGCCGGTACGGGCCAAGATCTGCTCGAAGGTAATGGTCCTGTGGGCCATGGGCGCCGGCACCTTTACCTATCCTCCGGAAGCCGGTCTGCCAATCGGCGGACCCGGCTTCAATCCGTTCGTTCGACTGGAGGTACACTTCAATAATCCGGAGAAGCAGAGTGGTGAGTAGTGGGCCGGCATGGAAGTGGGTGGTCCAAAGAGGATTACCCCGAACCGATTTGGTTAAGTGATAGGCTGCGTCGCTTTTGTTTGAGAGAAAAACGTGGGTTTATCAATCAATTGATCAAATATTCCACAGCGAAATGGAGCAATTTTGAACGAAAATTCTCATTTCAGGCTTGGTGGACAACTCCGGCTTCCGCATCAAGATGTCAAAGACACTGCGTCAGTATGACGCCGCCGTCATGGAACTGGGTCTGGAGTACACCGACAAAATGGCCATTCCGCCTGGCCAAACCGCGTTCCCGCTAAGCGGCTACTGTGTGGCGGACTGCACTCGCGCCGCTCTTCCGGCCACGGGCATCATCATCTTTGGCTCCCAACTGCACACCCATCTACGTGGCGTCCGCGTCCTCACCCGCCACTTTCGCGGCGAGCAGGAGCTGCGCGAGGTGAATCGCGATGACTTCTACTCGAACCACTTCCAGGAGATGCGCACCCTGCACTACAAGCCACGTGTCCTGCCCGTAAGATCCTTCACCCAGAAAATAGATTCCATTTGACATGGAAGCACTGTCAAGCTATTTATAAGCATTTGTATAGTTAATTATATGGCAAATGTGTGCAATCCATTGCTTTTTTGTAGGGCGACGCTTTGGTGACCACTTGCTACTACAATACCAAGGATGACCAGACCGCCGCCCTCGGCGGCTTCTCCATCAGCGACGAGATGTGCGTCAACTACATCCACTACTATCCGGCCACCAAGCTGGAGGTCTGCAAGAGTTCCGTTTCCGAGGAGACGCTCGAGAACTACTTTATTTACATGAAGCGGTGAGCTCTGGCTTTTATTACTCATTTAATAGCTGGGATGTCGGATTTGATGCCTGTAAATTAACGTATAAAAAGCGAATGCTATGCCTAAATCCTTCCTGTTATGTAAATAACAGGAATGTAAATAGTAACTAGTATTTCGCAGCTATCCGTTTAAGTTTGTGCGATGAGCTATTTGCCCCAGTTTGATTAAATTAGGATTGATCGATGTTGCCACCAGGAAACCCTTTGATTTGCAAAACTGCTGCAGGCAGGCATGCCTGGCTGACTCATACCCTGGCTTATCCCTTCTTTTTTGCGTTTGTGTTTGTTCTTCTCCCCTTTTCAGCCTCTTGCTTTATTCAACAATTATAACGCCCATGCACATTCATGGCATTCTATCCATCCGTCCCGCGGGCGTTTTGCGGCGTTAATGGATGAAATATTTTTTAATCTACGCAGCGAAAGCGACGACAGGCGACGCCACCATGGGGCAGTGGCGGGTATCCAGCGGGGTGAGGGCTTGAGGGTGATGCGCGGTGGCATTGTGGGTTTTCATTAAGGGGGGGATCCTGCCGCCCGGCTCCTTCTGCATCAAAGGGAAACTTTTCGGCATTCCCTTTCGAGGCTCGATTCCTTCGGCGCATTCATAACGGCGAAATGCTCTTTGTTCGCCTCCCGCGGCCACGCCCCCTACCCCTATTTCAAAACCCCATTTCCTTCGCTTGGGCCCAAAAAGGTGTTCGCTAATTGCCAACTTTAAGCAGTTGATGGCAAAGTTTACATTAGATTAGGGCCACCGCATCGGGTAACTTGGAATGCGGCCTGTGTGTAGCCATATCCGCATCCGGATTCGCATGGCATCCTCATCCGCCCGGTGGGAGTTGGAAATGGAAATTGCCTTCCAAAGTTGAAGTTATTGTTGCGGTCTTTGCGGACTTTAGCCTTCACTTAAGCGATCACATTGCGTTCTACTAGTGACAATAAACTTAATTTTAAGGGCCACGTAACAAAGCATTAAATGGATTGCCCCACTCGTGCATAAATCCGATTTTGCAGGGTATCAATTAAGTTTCAATTGGCTGCTTTAAGTATCTGCATGCAAATTTAGTTTGTTACAAAAAATAAAAACCTACCCGACTGATTAGCAATCGTAATTATTGGTAGTTCGATTTGTGCTAGGATGAACGCATTAGCATGGAGCTCATATACCAGCCTAGTATGTCCTAAATAACTGAAGTTTGTATGCTTGCAGCACGGAGCATCAGCACGGCGTGCATCTGAATGGAGCCAGGTCGTCCAATTACCGGAGCATCGAGTGGACCCAGCCGCGGATCGATCAGCTCTACACCATGTACATGCAGGAGCCGCTGAGCATGCAGTGCAACAGGTCCGATGGCACCCGCTTCGAGGGGCGGGACAGCTGGGAGGGCGTGGCAGCGACGCCCGTCCAAATCCGTATACCCATTCACCGCAAACTGTGCCCCAACTACAATCCGCTGTGGCTGAAGCCGTTGGAGAAGGGCGAGTGCGATTTGCTGGGGGAGTGCATCTATTAGGCGCCGTACATTAGGCATTAGGCGAACGGGGGCGTGGCATAGCACACACACACTCACACACACTCACACACATGTAGCACATGCAGCACATACAGCACATACAGCACATGCACACGCGCACGGCATGGATAATACGAGGATTTCGATTTCAACAGTCGGCTATCCAGAAAGCTGAACTCGTTCAGGTCGAATTGGCAGGGACATCTTCCATTTTGAATGTGTAACTCATGAATACTTTCGAATGCTTTCGAAACTTTAAGCGGAAATAGCTGGAAAATAGATTTAACAAAAGACCTGCAAACGTGATTTTGCTCCTATTTGTTGAGTTAATTAAGTCAAATTGCTTTAATTTGTACAAAGAAAACTAACTAATTACCGAAATGCTTTTGTTAGCTTTACCTTGACATTCGCAACAGAAATCAGAGGAATCACTGTAGCTTGTGCGACCCTGACAGCTTTGTATGCCTTATGGAAGTTCGACTGTAGTCGCTTTGTATTTACCCCTTCATCTGCATGGCCATTAGCATTATCAACGCCCCCTTTGTGTATGTGTGTGTGTGTAAGGGCAACAGGACAACAGGACAACAGGACAAAACAAATGTTTTCACTCTTTAAATAACTAATGCATTTACCAATCCCGCCCATGTTGTTCAGCCTTTTACTTTCACTTTTGCTTTGCTTTCGCCTTTGACTTTGTTCGTGTCCTTTGCCCTTGCTGTTTTGGCCAGCCTTTGAAATTTGCCGACTGACAGCGCCGCCAGGCTAAAACGTTTAATACAAAACAGCTTACAAAGCACGGCCCACACACACACACACACACACACACGCGCACACACGCACAGAAACACACACATCCACAAGCGCACTGAACTTGGCTGAGTCGAAAATGTAGCATACTTCTCAGCGCCAGCTGAAAAATTAAATGGCCAACTGACTGAATGAAACGGAACGTACTTAAACGGACAAACTGGCCGGAAACAAGAAGGCCAAGAAATGGAGGGGGACTCTCGCTGTTTATACAATATAAATGAGCAAACTTTTGATGCAACCCGACGTTGCCAAGTCTAATTACCAAGAAGCTCGTGGAAAAACGGCAGGCGAAAAGGCAGACAAAATCTGAAGAAAAAGGAAATAAATTGGTTGAGATCTTATTGGAAATGTGGAAATGTGGAAAGTTGGCAGAGAGGGGACCATGGGACATGGTAGATGGGCTTCCAGCAGCCAGGAGCTTACCACATGCACCCATGTGTTACTTTTCCATTCCATCCCTTTAAATGCAACTCTATCAGTCCTTCACGCTTTTCTTACTTTTCACTTCCGTTTCTCTATCGACACAAATGCACCCACACATACACAGACGCATACACATACACATACCCGTCCACACGCACACACACCCACACCCACATACATTTGAGTAAACATGTAATGGATACGTTTAAGTGTAGCCAACATACATATGTAAGATGTGATAATTGTTCTATGGCTATAAATGAAATATATATACACATGAATATATAAACTATGTAGATGAAATATTTATAAAAAACAAAAACCAAGCGAAAGCGAAACCAAAAAAAAAGTAAAATGTATAATTATCTAATAAAAACTGACCACCATACCAGAACTAAGCATATTTTATTTAGCATATAGGGGAATCAACTAAAAACTGTTTAATTAGTGACTGCTATGGGATGGATTGCACCAACGTTTATTTAACACTCAGCAACTACTTAATAAATTGCCAAGTATTTTCAAGTTCATTACATTGATGGACAGTAGTTCGCATGAATTGTACGTTCCAGTCGAGTCTCCTTTCATATTATTTACCTAATAGAATGCCGAAAATCCCCTCGTGTTTGATATTATTCGAGGGCTTAATCCCCGCCAATAATGGACTCTCGTTTCTCGTTGTCCTTATTGGACATTTTTGATCCTTCAACGCGCTGACTGACAAGCGGCCATTTTAATTGATTTTTCAGTTTTGTGCACAATTTTTGTGGGGCCAGCGTGAAAAGGGGAAAGGACGTGGCGTTGGGGAGCCATGAGAGTATTAAAAACGCTGCAATCCAATTAAAAGTTTTTAACGAAACAACAAATATTTTAATATTCATTGGCGCCAGCCGTACACGCACACCCAAAAATATTGTGGACATTGTGGGGCGTGGGCATGGGGCCAACTACATTATGGAAACCAAAGTACTGCACAGAGAACAAATCATGTAAATTGACAGCAATTCAAATGTGCGTTCATAGTTTTTGATTTGTCGAAATTCTGCAGTATTATATTTTTGTGCAATTTGCTTGCCTGATTTAAATTGACAGTCGAAATACAGCAGCTTCCATTCCATTAGCATTATTTCATCCGACACGGAAGCCTTCAAGCAAATGACAAACTTCGCACACATGCACATGTGCGCTCCACGCTTTTCCACTCCCCGTCACCGGAAAATCTAGCGAAAATAATATGTGAGCGGTGGGGAGAGCAAGAAAAGTCAAACAGAATGTGCGATAAGGATGAACATCGAAGGAAGGCAGAAGAAATGGGACAATCGACTATGTATGCGTTGTATCCTTCTCAAAATATTATGCAAAATATTAAATAAATAAAGAAAGAAATTGAGAAATAAATTTAGAAATAAATTTAGAAGTAAATTAGCAAATAAATTAAGAAATAAATGAATAATTGAAGACTCAAGGCGAGAAATCACTCGCACACATCTGTTGAAGTCTTCATACTTACAGCCCTTCAAGTCCGCAAAGTAACACAACTCTTGCAACATGCAACATAATGCTCTTGGTAGCTCAGCGACTTTCTGAGCCCAGTGCTTTGCGGCAGAGTGGTGTCAGTCAGCGGCAGACTCCTGAGAAAGTCAGGCAGAACTGAGAAAGTCAAGTGGTCGCGCCAAAAGCGGCATACGCGGCATACGCGGCGTATGCGTAACGCAGCCGAACGTAATGGCATACGTGAAGGCATCGCGCTCCGCATCTTGTGCGTGTGTGTGCGTGTGCGTGTGCGTGTGTGTGTGTGCGTAATCGCTTTTTTCGGTCTGTTGTCATTGCATTTTCACGCTCGCACACACACAAGCACGCACCTACACAGACACACAACACACAGGAGCAGAACATTTAATCAAGCCAACCTTCATCGTGACCGCCTCGTTCCGCTCAGTGGCAGTACAGTGAAGCACGGCTGCAGGTGCACATAATAAAAGTTATGCAAATAAAGAAAACGAAATGGCAATAATTATATAGCTAACCCACTGCGGGTTGAGTTAGGTTTTATTTCGCTCGACTCAGGTGTATTTTCACGTTGCAGAGGCTGCACTGTATGCTTTGAGGCAACGCTTGAGGTAGTCGTTGGCACTGGGACTGAGGCTTAGAGCCGGATTTCGGTGCCCCTGCAGCATCCTCACTGCCATCGGCATTTCCACGGCCATACACCCATTCCCATTCCCATTCCCAATTTCAGCCGCAGACACATTCTGCTAAAACATTTATCTGCAGCCCAATCGGTGGCGTGTGTGAACGAGTTTTCTCTGGAATGGCGGGCGGGCTGAGGGACCAAATTTAATGTCACAAACTTCTGATGTGTTCTAATTTATATACAAACAGACAGACAGACAGATAGACAGATAGACAGACATGCAGACGACAGCGCGGCTTGTGGGTAGTACGCAGATACCCTATGAAGGGATATTAATGTAAAACCGAGCATGATACCCACACCATCAGCTGAAAACATAGTACAGTGTTGTATGGGCTAAGCGCGTAGATTGAAAGTTGTGTTTAATAGGTTTGAACACCTGATTAACAGCGAGAAAATAGCGAGATGTGTGCACAAGACCGACTTGGAAAAATAGAAGCACCACGAATACCTGCTTAATCTCGAGGCATTCGAAGGTATATAGGTATCGGCAAAAGCCGTAGGGCTAGCAATTAGCCACCTCCGTGCCCCGAAATCGTTAAAGTAAATTTGTTTTCACGCTTGACGGCGAATGGGGCGACCTGCTTGATCTTTGCACACCCCTCGCGCCTCTTCCCCGTTTTTTTTTAGCCAGATTTTGCCACTTTCATTTCCACAAACACCCCCTACATACACTGTACACTGTCCTCCCAAATTTTGCCAGCGAGCGGCGTTCTTGTTAATATTTCATATGTCATCGCAAGGAGCCGCAGAAACACCACGTTGCCCGCTTTTATTTTTACATTTTTCTTTGTTTTTTTTGTCAGCCGTCATTCTCAGGATGCGAACATACCACACGCCGAAATTTTGGAATTTTCTTGTAAGCGGCCACAACTCTTAAATCGCTTGCGTTAAAAAATTTGATTATGTGACATTTTCGTTCAGCTTTTGTGAAAACATAAAATACGCATATAAAAAAACAAAAAAGGCAAATTAAATTTGTACACAGATTCACTTCGTTTTATTTATTTATTTTTTTATTTTGTTTTTCATTTTCGTGGTGGCTGATTGTTGCTGTTGCTGTTGCTGTTGCCGTTGTCGTCATTGCAGGACGAACAGGCGAAGGACCTCCGCACAGATCCTTTGGTAATTTCATTCCCTTTTATGAAGGCTTTTCCGCATTTTCGGCATCAAGGAGGGAATAAAGTCAGTTATGCTGAAATGATCAACTTTCAGACACCCATTGTGTCATCATTTCACCTATTTAATGTGGCTGCCAGAGTTGTTAATAATTTGTTTGAATATTTCATATGCACGGAAAATACTTCATGACAGTTATATACTTTCAAATATATATATATATATTAAATTACATATTTTCCATTTAACCTATGAACTATTATAATTTATTTATGTATTACATTAAGGTACATTAAGAAACGTATTTTTCAAATATGACTACTATTTTTACCATTACCACTAGTATTTGGGTAATTTTTGGTCAATGGTGGGTATTTATTTTGTGTGTTTGTGCATTTGGCGGCTAAAATCAGCTATAATCGGATGAAATCGGCTTAAATGCCTGGGCGGTACGGGGCGTGGCAGCGGAATGAGACTTTGGGGACCAATTGCGCATTGGGAGCTCTTTTTGTTTCAACTTTTTTTGTTTGTCGCTTTGTTTTTTGCATAATTTATGCAAAACAACCAAGCACAAATTGGCATTAATCAGTATGCTTTATTGACTCACCCGTGGCCACCGGTCGCAGGACTTTTGCCAGGATAAGACCGCAAGCTCGCAGCCATTGGTGGAATGTCAAGTCGAGATAAAACGCCACTCATGGCGGTCGACATTTCTGGTGTTCCACTGTACTCTTCGTTCTCCGTTCTCCGTTCTCTGCACCGACCCAACATTCCTATTACTTAATCAAGAAATTCCTTTTGCCTTTGTCTTTGCTTTTTAACCCAATCCGCCCAGCGTTAATGGTCTTTATGGCCTTTGCCATTCGCGGGCAGAAGGGCATCTTCAATTTCTTTATTCGCAATGTACTATGTGCAATGTGCCATGATTGAGGATTCGATTGTGAGTACACATATGCGAGTATGATATGCTATACATAAACTGTGCATCCGGTGAAGTGCTATGTTTCTAAATGATGAAGAGTGCAAAAAAGAAGGGTATTCCAGGTTCGATTCTGAACTCATGCCGTTGACCGTCCTTCTTTTGTTTTGTTGATAATGAAAGTGACTTGACATTCCGCTCCCTTGTGGCCACCAGTTGTATGCGCTGGCCCCGTGACCTCCCCCAACCCGTGACCCATCCACTTTGGGTCACCAGCAGGAATTCGCAATAAACGTGGCCACAGAATGGAATATGCCAACGCTCGTTTGGCTGCCACTGAGAGGAAGATCCAGCGAGACGAGTAGAGTACTGTTATAGGGTATATTAACGCCTAACAAATGGAAATGAAGAAAATTCAGCATTACTGTGCATTGAGTTCAGCATTGAGTTGTATACCACTTAAAAATTCAAATATGCGCTGACTGTAACTTGAGGATCGTATATTTGGTGGAACAGAGGAATAATATCCTTTGAAATGTGGAGATGACGCATTTGTTGACGTCCACGTTTCATTAAAATGTTGAACAAAGTTAATACATATCTACATTGGTCTCTTTTCCAAGAACCTCTGGATACAGAAATTCTAGTGTCGGTGGCGTGACTTCGGTTTTCGTGGTGGGATTCACATTTTCAAAGGGACCGGGGAAATTATCCAGCTTGTGGGCCACATCCTCCACCCGGCAGCACTGCACCATTCCGTAGGCGGGGAACTCGTGGAGGCTGGCGAAGAGGCTGTTCCGCAGCCAGGACACCTGGTTGCACATCGAGGGGCACAAGCTGCTTGAGTTACTGCGGTACTGCAAGATCGAAAGGATTGAGTATTGCTGAGCATTACGCATTCAATGACATCCACGCACAAAGGGCGAGTTGTGTCCAATGATGACGAACTCATCTTGTCCGGTGCCGGTCTTCTCCACAGCGTTCAAATGGGCCCAAATGTGGGTGGGAATGTGCACGGCTCTGCCATCCGCCAGTTCAATGCGGAAAGATATAGTTGAGTTGCACGATTGTCCGGGGACCATCGGCGGCTCCAGAGCTCCGGAGACACCCAAGCGAACGTCGAAGTGGACACCGACGGCAGCATGCATTGCTGTCGTCCAGTGCTTCCAGTTGCCCAAACGCAGCGCCCTCAACCAGATGGTGGTCATCAGGCCCTCGTAGCCGACCAAATTCCTGCCAGCAATCTCATCCTGGACCAGACTGCCTACCTGGAAAGTATCCTCCGTGAACAACTTCTCCCCTGCCAAGTACTCACTAAGTTCCATCTGGCTGCTCGAAAAGGTATTGTAAGAGTACAATGTTAACGATGATTTTGATCAAAGACAAATCCGTAAAGCCAGGGATGGCAGCCCCTACTTGACTCACCTGATGGTCTTGAATAGAGTCTTTTGGTAGTTGACAAGAATATTTAATCCGATATCGTTAAGTTGGCCCAAATGGGTCTACACATGTGCATGGAAGTGGAAGAATATATGGAAATATTAGATATTGTGCTCGAAAAGTTACTGCAATCCACCCACCGGTCCGACGATCTGGGTTTCTGGGAATGTCGTGTAACCCAAATATTTCAATTGAGCGGCGCCGAGATCATAGCACAATGCCGCATTTTTCATTAAACCCATGCTACCGAAACTTCTACCAACAACGAGGGTCATGTCCGTGCAATTTGGCAAACTTGTGTTGCTCTCAAACAACTGTGTTACTTCCGTCCGACAACGAACCATCAAATTTGGAGCTGCTTCATTTTTATAGGTAAAATAGTTATTATGGCCACACTTCATTGTAAGTGAAGTCTTGGTCAATGCATCCGATACCAGAGAGTTGTAATAAGAACTGAAAACACAAAAATGTTTATTTGCAGATGCTAGCGAAGGCATTAGCGAACGTGTTTATCAAATATGGGAATTACTCTTTTGGAAAAACAAATTTGTGAAAAAACGTCGGTTTTTTGTTGGCAAAGCTAACAGAGAATCGAACCGTACTTGGATTGGGTTATAGAAAATCCAGTGGCGCAGAAAAGCTCAATAGTCTCGCCATCTTCCCGTTTATATGTTTCCGGGGAAGTGGATAATATGTGCTTGGAGCCAAAATTGATCAAAACGTGCGGACACGGAGAAGCGGTTTTAAGTTCACACGTTCCACTTGCATCCTGTGGCAGTATGGAAAGAAATGAAAGGCCCAGGATCACGGCGTAAATCGGAAACATCGCGACGAATTCAAAAGTCAACTGATCTCCGCATTTCGCTGGGGAGCCATTTTATAGGACCCAAGGTGCTGATGCTGCAAAAATCCTTATCGCATTTGGACTTGTGAGCTTGTTAAGTGTAGGTAGATTGAGCTCATTAATCGCGGAAACCCCCTTTTTCATATTGTTTCAGCTGGAAATCGAGATAAGAAAGCGAATAGAAGCAATGAATGCTCAATATATTGACTACTTTGCATATACCGTTATACGGTTATTGATTAATCGTCTAAATAGAATACGTATTATTAAATTGTAATGTATTATTCTATATTCTACGCTATTATTAATTTCGATTATAAGATTATCAAACGATTAGCGTTATCAAAAGGTGTCTAAACATGTGTTTAGACATGATAAGTAGACAATCTATAAACATGTTCTATTTAAGGGCTGCAATAAACATGTCACGGGACAGCATAAGTGGCAACTACAGATAAGTACGGTTGCAGTGGTCTATTGCCGAAGTGTCAAGAGATATGATCACGCGGGAGGTGACTAGCGCGGTCATAGGCTTCAAACATAGATTTGAGATAAACCTCAGCTGCATTGACCAACGCAGACTGCAGCGTCTTACAAGCGCTGCATTATATAATTAGATGATAAGAACCTATGTAAGAATGAATAAAAGGCGATGCCCTCGCAGTAGCGAGTCAGTTAGATTCAAACACCCGAATTGAACTCATTAAGTGTACGCATTAGTTTATAGTGTGAACAAAAGGTTAAATTACTTACAGTTTCTCGTCTAGCGTACAACTGCTGAATGAAAACACACGATAGTTTATTTTTTTTATGAACTTTTGTTTATTTTTTTGCAAATTTTCTTTGTTTTCTTTAGTTTTTTGCTTTTTATTTATTTTTTGTTTCATTTCTTTTAGTTTTTTGCTTTTGTCGGCCATTTCATTAATACTAAGTGTACGCATTAAAGGTAAAATATGTTTTATGTTTTACTTGTTAATTGGTTTCCTTCGATTTTTCTGTTTACGTTCTCCTCCATTAATTATAGGCTTACTAAGAATTGTTGTATATATCTAGAGAATGCTAAAGGGGCCAAAATGATGTCATGTAAATGTAATGGTTCCTATATCCACCCTTTCTGCCAGCGAAAACACTTCCCCTTGATTTTCTGCTTCATAATCGTAATAGTTATTATTATTAATAATAGTATTATTAGTTCCTGCATTACGTGCCGCACGTAACGTTGCTTTAAAGTTTTTCTGTTTAGCGGTAGGCGCTTAAGGCTAAGATCGTTTGCTTTTACGTTTCAGAAAAGTGATTCTTTAGTGAGTTTTTCGCTATATGGTACATACTCATCGACTCGACCCAGCTATCCAGCTATCCAGCTATCCCGCTATCATGATATCATGCTATCCTGCTATCCTACTCCTCATCATCATCATTGTCATCGTGGTCTAGTTAATGCCCTCGTTAGGTAACAACAAAAGGTCAACAATTATATGCTAATATGCCAAATGCATCTGCTAGAACTAGGGCAATTTGATCAGATTAGACAAAATCAAATGCGTCTCGTTCTTCCGTCGGGTGATGTTAAAATATATATATATATATATATATTGGTGTTATATTCATATATGCAAATATGTTGTCCACATCAGGGATGTCAATATATATAGAGGTTTTACTATATATATTCATGTTTATATATATCTATGTATATATTGACTGAATTAAAAACTTCTTTTGTTTGAATCGTTTGGTTTTTCCCAACTTTTATTTTCATACATTTCACGTATATCTCCTCGTGCGATTTATTTTCAATTAAATGCTAAAATTAAGTATAGAAAAAAAATGTTTCTCATTTTTGTATATGTATTACTAGATACATTATTTTTCGTATTTAAATATATAAATATATATATATATATTTATATAAATGTATATATATATATTCTTTAATATAGAATAAGTGTTGATTTGTGATCATTTTTCTGTTCTTTACTCGCTTTCGAAAAAAAATAACTCATTTACACAAACAAAACGAAATTTCCTGCGAGTGTAATTGGGGGAAAGACACGCACCTATTGACCGCCTCTATATACAAAGACAACCCACGCATCCCTAATCTCAACCACAACCACAACCAACCACACACACACACACACACACACCCCCACACACAGGCTTACGCACAGAATAAACAGAAATCAGAACCCCAAACTTATGTCAGATATACATAAAATAAGTGCATTGTACAATTACGATTTGATGATTCGACACAGATAGTTGCTATCATAAATCCTACGGCTATTTCAGGATCAGAGTCCCCGATGGAAAGATGATCTGGAAGGACCCATGGATCTATATACAAGGACACATTGACGAGGAGAATCGGATGCATGCAGATGGTGAAAATGTAGACGAAGAATACACATGGAAGACGGCAGAGACTCCAAACATGTATCATTAATTTACTGAATTGTCACTGCAATTGAGGGATAGCATCCTGGCACCTACTTGCGAAGGCTTGTGGTCATTAGAAAAAAATGTCATATTACTTTCAGTTTTTTTTTTCAATGTTTTTGTTTGGGCGCGTCATATACAAAAATGTTGTGACTTAATAACTAAGTTTGTATCCATATTATTGGTTTGTGGTTCTGGTTCTGCGGATCGTGCTGGATTTCTTCCCAGTGTCTGCAAGTGTGATAATGTGTGTGTGTGTGTGTTTCCTTGGCGTGTGTATAAATTACAGGTGTATGGGTGATGTGCCGAATTAAAATCGAAAAACAATAAGATTCCATTGAATTTGCTCATAGCGGTCCGTAGGATGACATGGGAATGGGGATCGGACTACATTTTTAATAACATTTTCTTTCGGTAAATTAAATTAATAAGAATTCGTGTATCGACAAGTTCGACTGAACCGTTCCCTTGCGGTTGGATTTTTAAAATTGAGTTTGTTTCGATTTTCTTTAGTTTGTTCTTTTTTTGTTGTTTGTTTTTTTTTTTTTTTTTAAATTAGTTAACAACTTTAAGCATAGGTGTGTGTATACAATTATGAAAAAAAAATAAGCATTATCAATTATGTTTGTAACTAAGAACTAAACTTGCCTATGCAATCAATAATATTAAAAATAATAAGCTTTGGAAACATGTGCGGACACCTTTGTCGCCACGATCCATCATCATAATCGTAATTGTAATACAGAATAATAAGCGAAGATGATAAGTGATTTTTAAAAAAAGTTGTGAAGAATAATTTGCTAACCGAAGGAAATTTGCCATTTTCTTTTCATTATTATTACTGCTGCTGGATTGCTGCGGATGGGTTTCGCTGACGGCTTTCACATTATTTTTCATTTGCTCGCTCCATCCGTATATGCATTATATATACTCACTAAATGTACGTATGTTATTTACGCCTTAGAACATTGCTTTCTTGGTTTTAACCTTAGCTGTTTGCTTCCTTAATTTGCTGGTTGGTTGGCTTGTGTGTTTTCTATGTTTTCTATGTTTTGTATGTTTGCTCTGACGGTTCCGTGTCGAACCGTCGTCGTTGTTGCTGTCCTAGCCGTGTTGCTTTTGCTCTTGCAAGCCGTTGTCCAACGTGGTGCGATGCTGGCGCCTTGTCCGCCGCTTCGATTGGCCGCCGGAGGTGGAGGATGATGAGGTGGTTGTAGTGGTTGTGGTGATGCCGTTGACGCTAATGCCCCGGTTGGTCGACTTTCTCCGGGCCTTGGCCTACAGCGTCTCCTCAAAGGCAGCCATGAGATCGCTCTGCATGTTCATATCGATTTGGCCAGCCAACTGCAAAGCAGGGACATTTGGCTTAGGCTTAAATTCAAGTGGGATATCCGTTGGTTTACTTACCGCTTCGCGCCTGCGCCGCTCCTGTTCGGCCCGCCGCTGTTCGGCTCGCTTGGCTGCCGCCCGATCCTGCGGCGATTGTTGTGCCGGCGAACTCTGACCCTGGCCGCCCGGCGACGCCTTGATGTCTTCCACGCGCGATATTTGCGGCTGGGCATCGTGAACGCTTTTCCTGCAATTATTATGAAAAATTTACGTTCAGATTGAGCTGCTTAGCTGATTAGGTCTTGTGGGACTGCGATTACCTTCCGCTCTCCATGGCGCCCAAGGGCGAGGCGGCCAGAATGGCCTGAGCGGCCACAGCGGCCGCCACATGCTGCGCCTGGGCGTGGGCCGCCACCTGTGTTAGCACCGCCACCTGTTGACCGTAGTCGAGGGCGCCGCTGCCCATGCCACCACTGGCTGGCCCTCCACCGCCGCCTCCGCTGCTGCCCTGACTATTGGAGCCAGGTCCGCCGCTGCCCACAATGCCGCCGACGCTGCTGTTGCTGTTGCTGCTGGCGGCGCCGCCGCTGCCAACACCACTATTGCTATTGCTGCCGGCATTAAGCAGCGCTGGTCCGCCGCCGCCACTGTTGCTGTTGGCAGTGCCACCGCCACTGTTCGGTCCACCGGCGCTGGCTGACCCACTGCCGCCGCCGCCGCCACTGCCACCGCTGCCCGCACTGCCAGGTCCATTGCTGTTGGCCGAATTGCTGCTGTTGTTTCCATTGCCGGACTGACCGCCACCGCTGCCGGAACGCTCACGTTCCCGCTCGCGATCCCTGTCACGGTCGCGATCGCCAGTGATTGCCTGTTGGCTGGCCGAACCGGCACCGCTACTACTGCCGCCGCCAGAAGGATTTGAGGCACTGGAGGCCACCGCCGCTGCCGCTGCAGCTCCCAATGCCACTGCCGCCGCCGCTGTTGCGGCTGCAACGGCTGCTGCCTGGGCCGCAGCCGCCGAAGCCGACGAGGATGACGAGGATGACTTATGGTGCTTTCGCTGCTGCTCCTTCTCGGCGGCCTCCTTTTGGTTCTTCTTCTCCTTCTCGGCTGCCTCCAGCAGCTTGAGACGGTCGCGTTCTTTGGCTTTGTTGCGGAACTGCTGGAACGAGTCCATGGCCGGTTTTGCCTTGTTGCTGCTCGAGCTGCTCGACGTGTGCGACTGTGGGGAGTTCGCCGATGCCAGGGAGGACCAGGAGCTGGCATTCTTTAGGTTCTGTTCGTTGGCCTTGAAGGCCTGCGCCAGTTTGCCCTGCGCTGACGCAGCCGCCGCCGCCGCGCTCGAATGAAGCTTCATGTCCGAGGGCGACTGCTGCGGCGGCAACACCTTTTGATGATGCTGCAATTGCTGCTTGTCCGGCGGACTGGGCATCATCGATTCGATGGGCTTGGGTATAATCAGCAATTTGTTAGCAACCTGCTGTTGCTGCTGATGCAGCTGTTGTTGGTGTTGCTGCTGCTGGAGATGTTGTTGCTGCTGCTGCTGCAGCTGCTGGGTTAGCTGCAGCTGCTGCTGGGATAGCTGCTGCTGCTGTTGTTGGTGGTGTTGCTGCTGGTGCTGCTGCTGTTGCTGGTGCGTCTGCTGTTGCTGCTGCAATTGCATCTGCTGCATCTGCTGCTGCTGAAGCGAATGCTCCAGATCGAGGAATGAGGCTGCTGTCATATTTAAACCATCGAATCCGGCCATACCGAAATCGGCAACATTGAAGCCATTGTTGTGAGCCTGCTGCTGCTGTTGCTGCTGAGGATGCTTCTGCTGGTAGGCCGCCGCCATGTCCAGGTTGAAGTTCAGCAGATGATTGCCATTCATGCCGCCAACATTCTCCGCTCCTTTGCTTAGCAGCTCAGTGACATAGTCCATATGTTGCTGCTGTTGCTGCTGCTGTTGTTGTTGATGGCCAAAAGGTTGCTGCTGCTGCTGCTGCTGCTGGGTTCCGGCGGGCTGCATTAGGTGTTGCTGCATCAAGAAGTTGTCCGTCAGCCCCGATTTGCCCGTAGAGCCTGCGCTGAACTCCAACGAGGCCAGCGATTGCTCTACGGGATCATCAAATTGTGGTATCTGTTTGAGGCCCGAGGCCAGTGAGGCATTGGCCATCGCATCCCCATGCGATCCGCCCAGTGGATTAGCATTATTGTTGCTGCCGCCGTTATTGTTACTGCTCCCGGTATTATTGCCGCCGCCAGCAGTGCCGGTGCTGTTTACGCCAGACGTCAGGGCAGCAGCAAGTGCCGCATGATGCTCGCCTAGATCACCGCCACCCAGACCGGACGGCTTGTGGAGATTGCTGGCTATGCGAATGCCGCCGCTCGATTGACTGGTGGCCACCGTTGCTGCCCCTCCGGCGAAACTGTGCGGCGGCAGGGCGGCGGTGATGGGGCCACCCGGCGGGACTTTACTCAAGTCATTTGGTCCATTCTTGTTGTGCTGCTGCCCCGTCGCCGCCGAAACTGCAGCACCCGAAATTGGAACGCCGCCGCTGGCATGCATCATGTTCCCGGGAGCGGGCGCACCACCAAAGTTGCTACCCGGAAGCGATGTCTTATTGTTGTTGTTTAGCATGGCAGCTGCCGTCAGCGGATTGGCATTGCCCATCATGTTGGCTACACGAGGATCACGGGAGATAGGGAGTCACACAAGAAACGCTAGTTAGTTACACACTTCACACGAATCGGGCGCATGGTTCACAGAAACCTCTGGACTATAATAACAAATCTCTGTGACCATATACACCGACTATGTTGTACTTACACATTTGTGATGTGGGCGTGTTAGAGTTCACCACATGGTCCAAACCCATCAGCATGGTCGTCGGCGAGAGGGCGCCACTCGGCAGGTTGCCGCCCATTACCACATTTATACTTGGATTATTTACCTGCGAGAACAGATTTCAAGGGGAGACGAGGCGTGGGGAGAGGGTATGGGAAAAGGTAGATGGACATGTGTTACATTAACTCTGGTTATCACGGCAGTCAACAAGTACGCTGCACATCTAACACTTGATTATTTCGGAAATTATCACCTTGTTTCATCAATTATGCAAATACATACATACATATGTATCTTCTTTTGATCAGATAATAAATAATCGAAATAATTATAGGTATGTAGTGTGGTATTTTGTTCCGGATTCCCTCCCTGACATGGAGTCATTGGAGTTAGGTACTTACATTGCTTCCATTCGAGTCTCGGGATTTTTTCTTGCGCGGCGGTCGATCATCACCATCACCTGTTGAAGCGGGAATAACCAAAACTTTGAATGAGAGAGGTTGGCTAGGAACGGCGACCAAGATCGCAGGAAAGGATCAGAGCTAATGGGGTTCAATATAATTAGCAGCAACAAAAGCTGGGAAAAATACCGGGGTGGAACTCTATGTCGAATTGGTTAATAAAATGAAGAATAATTGAAAACGCAGGTCAAATTAGGCGATTTGAAACTTAAATTGTTTTTCAAGTACATTTAAAACCAAGCAGTAAGTGCTTTACACTCATGAATATAGTTGGTTCATAAATGGAATCGAGAATTTGGATCAATTTGGAGCACATAGAAAACCACCCCAAAACAGGCACAAGCGATAGTGAATTTTGGGACTTAGATCGTATTCATACATGTCGTACAAAAAATACATGAGCGGTGGTTTACGAATTTTCAATAAATATAGATATAGTATAGGTGTATTAAAAATACCTCTTACAATGCCGATCGATGAAACAATTGTGTCGTGGTGGGTGGGTTATCGTGGTGGTGGTTTTTGGAGTTTGGTGGATGAGCGGCCGCTTTTCGGCACTCTTTCTTCTCTTCTCTGCACTTCTCTGTCTATCTGTCTTTCTTCGCCCACTTTCACTTTTCAATATCTAAACTGTAAATGAACTGAAAAAGAACGGCCAGAGACCCCCTCGTCCACCCCTCCTTTTTTTATATTGTTCCAGCCAAATGGATAAAGGACATTGGGTAATCGCAACCAAACCAACCATCGGGGTTTCCAATCGATAATTTTTATCGGTTTTGTTAAATAATCGCTACTTTCGCATGTTTATCGTTAAGTTATCTCTCCACTGTGAATAGAAATGAATTTTTGGCGGTAATGAGAAAACACACAGATAGTTTTTTTTCTTCTTTTTTTAATAAACATTTTCTTTTCTCATTTTTCGTTTTTGTTTGTTGTATTCATTGCTTTTTTTAGTTTAGTTTAGTTTAGTTGTTTGTTTCGCTGCTGCTGTTGCGCTGCCATTTTTTAATAATAAATATTATTATTGTTTTTACTATAAATATTTAATTGTATGCGTGTGTTTTCATAATGCTAAATGTGTGTGTGTTGGTTTGTTTGTATTTGTATTTGTTTTCGTGTGTCGGGTTACGTTACGTAGTTCGCGTCGTCTGCTCTTTTTTCTTTCTTTTTATTCCCTCTACCACCTTTCTTTCCCTAAGATTTTAACTATTTATCCTTTCATTTATTTTATTTTATACCTTATTTTATTTCCTCATTTTCTTCTTGTGCAAATTGCCTGTGCAAATTGAAACCAAAAATGCACTATGCACTACCTCATACCTCATTTTGATTTTAAATTTTTCGCTCGAAAAGTTATGTTTTCGGCTCCTAACGAAACGATTTTAATCGTGTTTACATGTGTGTAATGTTGGTGTGGCTGCATTAACCTGCAGTTTAATTTTTTTTCTTGAATAACGTGTTACAATAATGGGGCTTTCAAATAAAACCATTTTCAATATTGGGAGGGCTAAATAATTGAAAAAAGCGATTGCGGGGTGTGGTGACCTCGACAAAGAAAGTACAAGAACTATATCACGTAAGTATAAAATGTGCGGATCCTGAAGCACAGGCAATCGGATTTGAAAACAAAAACCTAAATCTATTAATAATCTGGGGCATAATAATCGAAATATTTTCTTGGCTGTTTTGTTGGCTCAACTGATTGGCTCTCTTTAAAAACTGCTTGCTTTCGACCGCTGAGTTTTTCAAATTCAAATTAAATATTGTTACAAGTTGTGTAGAGTGCATTTGTTTGTTGTTATTATTCATTGTTATTGTTGATTGTAATTTATTTCATTTTCCTCCTGGCGATTTAAATTTGATTTAATTAAATAGTAAAAATTTATATTTAAATTGATTTTATGCAATTTGTGTTGTTAATTTTTCTTTATTTCCATTGCATTATCATCTCGTCATATCATCAATCCTTCTCTTCTCTTTTATGCATTTTTTTGTTGTATATTTTCGTAATATAATATATATATATTTATTTTTGTTATTTTTTTTTTTTTTTTGAAAAAAACGTGCAAACAATGTGTAAAGGGGAAAGCCGACAGCCGAAAAATAAATAATAAAATGTTTTCAAAATACATTTAATTATTTGTTTTCTTTTTGTATTTGTTTTTGTTTTATACCTCTTTTGATCATATGTATAGCATACGTCTATCTATGTAAGTATAGCTATGTATATATAACTAGTTTGAGTTTAGTAAGCTTAGAGCAAAAGACTCTATTTACGTTACGCTTGGTTCCATTCCGATTCGTTCCACTTTTCTCATACCGTTAGTTATACCGTTACTTCTACAGACAGAGACAGCCACATTGGCAAGGACACAGAAAGAGAGATAGAGAGAGAGAGACAGAGAAAGAGAGATAGATAGATGAAAGGACACGATTTCGTTACCCCACTTTAAGTATTCGATTTTTTTTACTACCGATGATTGCTTTTGGATATTTTCAATACATTTCGATTTTTATGTGTTAACTTTTATTTATTATTTACTGTCTTTTTAGGGTTTTCACTCATGGAGTCCTTTTGGAAGTGATCTCTGGAAGCGATTCTTTTATCGGATGACGGTTCTCCCACATTTATACACATTAGGTTAATGACATCAACAAACAATTAACCACGAACTAATGATATACAAATACAGAGTGATATTAGGCAATTCTCGTTTCTAAGTTTCTAAGTGCGAGCTATTGCTTGCGAATTGTGCTAATTGCTGTGTTTTAGTTCCATTCGCTCCGCCTGGAAACACTTGTTTTTTCCCTTTCTTTTTGAGGTTAAAAGCGTTAAACTAATTAATAACATCAAATTTAACATTCACAATAGTCAGCCGACTTAATTAAAAGTAAAGTGAAGTATTCATCAATGTTTCTTTACCCTTTAATTTAAATTTTGGGTAATCCCCCCCATTTTGCTCTCTTTCTCTCGGTGTTATTATTCTCAGTGTCACTTTTCTCTTACGTATTCTCTCCTTAGGTTGTATTTCGAATTACGTATTTGAAATTTTTGCGGATAGGTGTTTCTTTCCATTTCTTTTCGAAGCTTTTCATACTTTCTTTGTCTTTACACATTGTCTGCAAGTGTATCGAGAATTGCATACGTTTTTTGCATATGTTAGTTTTTTCATCTATTTGGTTCATTCAGTTTTGTTAAGAATTTCATATTATGTTTATTGTTCATTTGCATAATTATTATTATATATTACACACAGTGCTGTTACGTTGTGTAGGTGGTTTGAATGTGCGTGTTTTGATCAGCTTACCGAAAAAAAAAGACCTATCGGCTGGATTACAATTACAAACAGCATGATTTAGGATCGCCGTAATGGAGTTTCGTTAACATATTGGAAATATCAAGAAAAAAGACTAGAAAACATGTGAAATTGGCACAGAAGTATTCGAACTTGTATTCGAAGTATGGGACTTGCACCCGAGAAGAAGTCGGCGGAGAAGATTGTTCTTATGTCGCCGATAATATGCGATACATATTATATGGTCTAAAGGCCACCTAGCCTAGTAGGTAGAGTGCAAAACCCTGGATAATTTCAACATTTGATTTTAGTTGGGAATAGATACAATGGTGATCGATGAAGATTGCTAGTAAGCTGCCTCTGAGATATATTCTCATGATGGATGGTACTTCTGAGGGGTTAACATGTGTGTGGATTGTAAATGATTAGTTTTTATTTATATTTATTCGTTGATCTTTTATAAATCATGAATTGTTTCTCTGCTGTTTTGTAGATTTGATGGAGAGCTTTAAATTTTTGTTGATTGGTTCGATTGGTTGGTTTGAGTTTGGTTGGTTGGTTGGTTGGTTGATTGGTTGATTGATTGGTTGGAGTTGGAATTCATTACTTTCATTTTCAGATTGGCTGCCCCCAATACACAATTGCTTCACGATTTTTTCAGCATATTCTCATAATAATCATAATCATAATAATAATAATAATAATCATAATATTGGTAATAATAAGGTTTTTCTTGTTCTTTTTTTAGAATGGTTTTTGTTTTTTTCAAAAGACTTAAAGTAGTAAAGAGTGTGTGTTTTTCGCATAATGTTCTCATTTTAGATAGTTTTGTATGTGTGTTGTGTAAGATTTTTCTCATTTACAAATACAATTCGTTTAATACCTACAAATGCTTAAATATGATATATATGTGTGTGGGTGTGTATATATAATTAAGTATGTACTAGACCTAGATTTATATATATATAGATATATATATATATATACATATATATCAGTTATATAAAATGTTGCCGTTCTGTTCGTGTTGTTCTCGTTTGTATTTAGTGTAAGTGATTCATAAAAAATGGGGAAGTGTAAATGTTTTATTGGGTCTTTCCAAACGTCTGATATAACGATGACCAATCACCCAACTCTGACGTGGTTCAAGTGCGAATCGAAACAAAAACCTCAGTTTAAACGTTCCTTCAGCAAATTTGTTTAACAACTCTGCCATGTAACTAATAATCTTCAACATGTTTTGTTTCCCATATGGGCTTGGCTATGTCCGTTCTCGAAATATTTGAATAAAATACATTTAAATATTGATTCAACTGACACATATTACTCGTTTTTCAATTCACGTCGCTAAACTCCATATATTCGGGTGCATTTGTTTTCTTAGAGTAAATGCATATTGCACTTTGTCATGAACTTGGTTCTTGGGCATTTCTAAAACAACACATTCCAGTAAAAATAAACAGATTGCAAAAAAAAAAAAACAAAAAAAAAAGAAGTTTATCAGAGTTGGATGTCCTTTTCGTGGGCCTCGCATATCAGACGATTGGCAAATGGAAATTTTTCAATTTTTTTTTTGTACAGTCTGGGGTCGTCCTGTTATTCTCTTTTCTTGTTTAGCACACGAAAACATAAACAAAATGCGCTAAATTCAATAATTTAAGATAATACCCTATTAGAGCGAGACAAGGAAGTGGGTTTTCGTGTTTTTCAGTCGGTCTTCAAATACAAATGATACCCTTATCATTTTCCCCTCTCGCTCGCTCCCCTGTGGACTCAGTGTCTGCGTCTGTCTCCCTCTAATTCGTAGTTCAATGTGGGTGTGCGTGTCTGTGTGAATTTTTGAAAGCTAACTTAAAAGTGATAGAAATAAATGTTAGGCAGAAAAACACAATCATCTGCATTGGCATACGTTTTTGCGCTCGCTAATGGTGTAGCTATTGCATTACAACTAGATAAACCTATTTATATCCAACTCATTTAATTAAGTCATTCGCTCTGTTCAAGTCTCCTGATTCTGTGCGACTTCATACATATTTTTACATTTTCAACGGGTTTTATGGTTTTTGCTAGTTCCTAGACTGTTCGATCGAATCTTCTGTTCTCTGACTCAAGCCACGACCGCCCCGCCCCGCCCCGCTCCTCCACTTCGCCTTATGTATTTAGTTACCTAATGTTAAACGATAATATAATAAAATTTATGCCGACTCGCTTACTGTTTGTGGGTCTGTCTCTACAATCGCAATCTGTATCTGAATCTGTATCGGTTTTTGTGTGTTTAGTGAGTTTGTTGTTTGCTTCTCAAACAACGCATCTATCTATATATATATATATATATATATACATATATACATATACATATATATTTATATTTGCATATTTCTATGTATACTAATCAAAAAAAATATTGTATAAAATAAACAAACAAACAAAACGCGTCCTAACCTGCTTCACTGTCGCTCGAGTCACTCGAACTGCTATCACTCGAACTCGACGACGATGAATCGCTGGAACTGGAACTCGACGACACGGGATTCGCCGGCTGCACTGCCTCGACCTTGTTCGAAGCGGACTCATCTGCGGGAAATGGTAAATGATGCGGGATTAGTATTAGCATCGCTGAATGCAGTCAGAAGTGGTCAGCAAAAGAGCAACTACCAACTGGATTTGGTAATGAATAAGTGGTAAATTCCAGTTATATTTAGGGAATTGCACGTTGATGACCTCAACGGTTACTACCTACCTTTCTTGGCGGTTTTCTTGCTTGCCCCCAGTTGGCCAGTGACGTCCTGCAGGCGCTTCTCCAGCTCCTGCTTTTTCTCGGCCATCTGCTCATCCTTCGACTTGCCAGAAGGCTTTTTATCTGCGAAACGGAGAAACGACAATTGTTTATACTCAGATTGATTTTCAACGAGTAGCGAGATGACGGGAGAGGGCGGGGAAAGATTGATCGGGGGATATAGGATCATGCTCGAAACAAAATGTATTCAAATGTTTGGACGGGAAAAAAGGTAAAGCGGCAATGTCATTAGCGATGTTATAAAAATCTCTTGAGAATCAAAACCCAATATCAAAAATGTGTTGTTATCACATAAGGAATTTGTAATTTAGAGATTTCTGTAACACATCGGCACTTCCACAGCATTCACAAGCTACTTGAGGAAATGGGAAGGGTTCTTTTTTTATTTACTTTGTCCTTAATTTTTTTTTTTTTTGCATGCACTTGCTAGCTACAGATAAACTGGATAGAAACTCGAGTGTTGAAAATCTTAATCATAAGGATTTGCAGTTTGATACATTTGGTTATATTTTTTTCGAGTTTAACTAACTAAACATGACCACTACGGTTTTCGGTTCGAAATTAAAATCAAATTTGGAAGCGCAGTCAGCAAAGCCAAAATGGAAATGGGTTCTTCTGTTCTTATTTTTGATCTCAATATGATTGCAATGAATATGGATTTGGATATAGATTGCTCAGTTGTCTGATGTCTCTTAGTTGTGCCTCTAACTTGACTCTTGTACTTGGTCTTGGTACTTAAATTTTTATTAGCTTTTGCTGTTCTTGCTGCTTTGCTGTTGCTTTTGCTTTTGCATTTGCTTTGGCTTTTGTTGTGGTCTCGGTTTAGTTACAAACTTACAATATGGCTTACGTGTTTTTTTGCGCAAACACGACGCCACATAGCTTTCTAGCTCGCGCAGCGTCGACGGCTTCAGCGTCTCAAAGTCGATTTCTATTTCATCGGGGTTGGAGTCACGCAGCGATGGCTCCCGATTCTGGATAATGTGAACCACACGGCCCAGCTTGTCACCTGCGAACAGAATGGAAGTTAGTTTCGAGGGCATTTTCAGGAACTGAAGGATCAATAAAATGCACTAAACTTTGTTTGGAAATTCGTTTGGGCGAGTATTTATTGAAAAAGATAAATGGATGCTGCTAAGCAGTATGTTTGCCATATCCATCGATCTTAATTCGTGTTTAAGTGAAAAGAGACAAGATGAGCACTATAATCTTACCTGGCAACTTGTTGATGTCGAGCGACAACTGGCGCTTCTCGTCGTACGACATTGGCTTGGCCGTGTCCTCCTCCTCGGAGTCAAAGTTCATCACCTGGCTAGGTTTCTTCTTGCTGCTGCCGCGCGCACCGGCACCACCGGTGCTGGCATTCGCGCCACCAACACCACCGCCAGCGCCCGCCGAACTGCTGCCCTTGGCCCGCTTGGAGGCATTGCCGCCGCCCGCTGCTCCTGCACCGCTAACACCTCCAACAGATCCAGCGCCCGCTGCACCTCCCGCTGCGCCACCAGCCGCATTGCCCGCAGCGGCATTATTGCTAGCTCCAACGCCGCCGGCTCCGCCGCCCTTTGCGCCACGTCCACCCTTGCTTTTAGCACCTTTACCGCTGCCAGCCGTCGTACCGCCGGCTCCTGCCGCTGCGCCCGCTGCCAGAGCGCCGGCCAGGGTGCCCGCCTTGCCGCCCGACGATGCTCCTGCTGCTGTCACACCGGCACCGAAGCCAGCACCGGCCGCGGCACCGCCGCCCGCCAGCTGGCTAAAGGCCATGGCGACTTCGTGAACCTGGCTGTGCAACGCAGCCACATTGGGAACACCACCTGCGACGGCCGCTCCGCCATGGCCAACCAACGAACCACCGAGCAGCGCGTTGAGATTAGCGCCGCCCGCTCCACCGGCACCCAAGGCACCGACACCGCCTGGCACGGAAACGTTCCCATGGCCGCCTGATCCGGGACCGCCTGCTCCGCCAGAATTTGCACCGCCGCCCGAGGCGTGACCATGGTGCGAGGCCGAACCAGGGCCTGATCCGCCGCCCATTGACTTCTTCTTTTCCTTGAGTTTTTTCTTCGCCTTCTTTTTGGCGGAGGCCTCCTCTGACAGCTTGCGGATCTCTTCCTGCAGACCGAGCAGCTTGGACTCGAGCATCTTCAACTTAGCGCTGCGCTCCTCATCCGAGTTTGATTCGTTCTCGGTGTCGCTGGAGTCCTCGCTGGACGAATCGCTGGCATCGTGCTTGAGTGAGGAGGAGCCGCCGTATCCATGACCATGTCCATGTCCGTGACCATGGCCGTGACTGTGGCCGTGGCCGTGACCATGCCCGTGGCCATGTCCATGATGGTGTGCCGCATTGGCCACCGGCTCATCGGGGATGTTGGCATAGCGCATCTCAAATACGTCCTGCAGCTTGCGACCCATGGCCACAACATCGTGATCTGGCGGATTGTACTTGTAGCAGTTGGTGAATATTAATCGCACGTCGGCGGCAAATTCCGGCGCGCTCTTGTACTCGCGATTGTCCATTTTCCGCTTGACTGTGCCCAGATCCATTGGTTTCTTAATAATGTCGTGGTAGTCATGCAGGCCAAGCATTTCCGCGTCCACTGGCTTGTAGAACGGCCAAGCATAACCCGAGTGCTTCTTCGAGAAGAGCTCCTTGAGGATTTCGTTGCACGACTTGAGCGCATCCGACAGCTTCTCCTTGTTCTTGGCCACCGCAACACCAGCCACGCCGCCGGCAACTAGACCGCCAAGTCCGGGCACTCCGGAGACGCCTAGCGGCGACATATTGTATCCCGAGCCCTGGAATGTAAGATCCTGTGGTTCAGAATGTCCCATCGTTTCGGTTTTTGATGATTTGGTTGATTTGTGGTTTGTTGTTGGTGTTGTTGATTGATTGGTGTGGTTGTTGGTGTTGATTTGATCGATCGATTGATTTATTGGTTGGTTGAGTGCAAACAAAATCAACGCAAAAGAAAAGAAAAATAAACGAGCAAAAAGCAGCATGGGGTTAGCTTCGAAATAAATCATATGGTTCTAAAATAAATGATTACAGATCATGCGAATGGGACTTCGTTCTTTATATTCATGTGAAGTTAAATCCCCTTCGCATGTCTGTGACAAAATGATTACCGATCATGAGGATAAAATTTAACTGTATTTAAGTATTTGTTCCAGGTCAAATCGAATCCCCAATCACGTATTTCGGTTTATTTACAAATCTATGAAATGGTTTTTGAGTAAAAGGCAGGACGGCGTATAGTGTATGATTTAATCGATTTTTGTTGTGCATTAGGATTGGATATTATTGTATCATTCTGACTGAAGTATGAGCTTGACATATCAAAAAGACAAAAAAACAAAAAAGTAATGGAACTTTAATTGATTGATAACTTTAATTAAACTAAGAAGACTCGGTGTGACAATTAAGACTTTAAATACAAATTATACAAATTTATGATTTCGGACAGATCTAGCTGACCTAATAGATTGGCACACATTGAATTAATTACAAAAAATGAACTCCAACGATGTTGGCTCATGAATATAAACATATATGCGCAAGCTCTTGAGGGACTATGATCATACTCATACGACTGGCGATGCCCGTTACTCTTACCTTCTTGCCAATTACCTGACGATTTGACTCCCGCCGCGTCGCAATCTTGGCCGATTTGGAGTCCAGTTGCGCGTACGGGGACTCAAAGGCATTGGCCGTCGGCGTGGTTGTGTCCGCCTTTCGTTTGACGCCCTTCTTTATTTTGGCGGGCTGCTGAGGCGGTATCACGGCGTCCACTCCGACGCTCACGCCCGCATTCACATAGGCCTGAACGGAGTTGGCGGCATTGACGGCAACTGTTGGTATTGTCCCTCCTCCAGCGGCTCCCACTGCACCTCCCGCCGCCGCCGCCGCCGCAGCTGCTGCTGCCGCCGCTACTGCGGCTGTACTGCCATCTAGAAGCGAGGAGCTATTGACCGCCGTCTGGCCTGGGGCACCGGGATAGGCGCCCGTTTGGCCCGCACTTAGAAGACTAGCCATGAGGGCGGCAGCATTGGGATTGGCTGCAGCTGCACCTGGCCCACCAGCGCCGCCAGCCAATGCTGTCGTCGTCGTATTGGTGCTGCCGGGTACCGTGTGCGGTGGCATTGTGCTTATCGGTGGTATGGACGGTGCGCCGCCGGCCGTCGATGAAACCGTGCCGCCCATGGCGGATACGGGTCGGGCGGCGGTCGCTCCTCCCGCACCGGAACCCGTCTGAGTTCCCGGTGTGCTTGAAGATCCACCGCCTGCACCCGTCGCTCCTTGCAGGCCGGACTGTTGCGCGGATGAAGCAGCGGTTGACACTTTGGTGGAGCCACTACCTGGGCCGCTGGTAACTGCTGCCGAGGATGTACCAGAACCGGTGGATGCTCCAGCGCCACTAGACGATGACTTGGGCGTAGCCGGCGCCCGTTGCTTCTTTTTCCCTCCCTTGGCCGTAACCGGCTCCAGTTCGAGCTCCTCCTTAGGCATCGATTCGATTTTCTGCAGGAAGACCTTCTCGAGGGTCTGGGCCATAACAACTACATCCTCGCCGGGCTTGTTGTAGACATAGCAATTGTTGAACATCGTATTGAAGTCGTGTATGGTCTCCTTGGCGGACCAATAGTAGTTGTTCTCCAGCCGCTTCTTGATCGTGCCCATGTCCATGGGCTGTTTGATGATCTTGTGGTAGTCGGGCAGGTTGAGCTTCTTGGCATCGACGGGCTGTTGAAAGGGCCACGAGAAGTGGTGCTTCCATATCACCTTCATCACCGTCTTGATCAGATATTGCAATTGGTTCGTATTGCGGCCGGGCCGCTCCGCTGGCGGAATCACCGGTGGCTGTACAATGCCATTGACTGGCTCCACGGGTGGCTCGTAACGAGGCGGTGGCTCACTGGACGACATGGTGGTGGTGGTGGTGGTGGTTCTTGTGGTGGTTCAGTTTGCGATTTATGTCTTGGGATTAAGGATCCGGGTTGATGGTTATCCGACTGAGACGGCCAACACACACACTCCACCTACACACACACACACACACACACACGGGCCGCCTCCGTCTCCTCCTTGTCCTCTGATTTGATCCTCCGATCCAGCGATTCCTTCGTATAAGGGTATGTAGGGGGGTTAAAGTGGGTTTAGGGGGGGAACTGGTCTTATGTGGCCGGTGACCACCTCCTCCTCCTGCGACTGACAACGCCTTCTCCTGTTGTTCCTGCGACTCCTACTCCTGGTAATCCTCCGCCGCCTATCGTTTTTTCAACTCCTGATCCTGGTGCTCCTGTTCTGGTGTTGGTTAAAAATCTCTTCTTGTTCAAGGGATAATATTGTGTAGTGGTCCGTAGTGATTGCTTCATGCTCAGCAATGTCTGTGCACTGTGGTTTATTGAGAAAATACACGATTTAGTTGGATTGTCAGTGCACTTCGAATTTAAAGGATGCTACTCACCTCGCCTGCTCCAGATTCTCAGGGCCCAGGCTCCTCTCATTGGAATCGGCTGGCTTCACCTGATTCGAGGGCCAAGGACTTTACAAGTACAACTGCTACTGGAGTCATTGTGGCTTTGTATCCTTCTTTATTATTGGAAAAAATCCTAGCACAGCACAGACGGCTATAAATCTGTAAAAGAGAGTAAAACACAAAAAGCCAAGTTAGCCGGCACATTCGGATATTTTGCAACTCTGGGATTTGCATTTCACAACACTCCTCCACGGAGGGTTACATAAACAAAAAATAAATAATGGGGCCCACAAACAAACAGACAAAAACGAAACTAACAATCTCACTAAAAGTGCGGCGGTTGCCATAAACAATATGCGACACCAACGAATGTAGAATGTAGAATATGCGGAGGCGGCAGGAAAACGGAAAACACAAAACAGAACACACGGAAGAAGCTGAAAACACGGAGAACGACAAAACTTATACACTCGCACACGCAAGCCAAGTGCAAAACAATCAATTGCGAGCACTTTTTAACAACAATCAAATCACTTGCTTCGCAATATTCCTAGTATTTATTACTTTATGCGTTTGACTGTAGATTTCAACGTTATTTTTAGTCGTTTTTCTTTACTTTTTTGTTTGCGGTGTCTGCCGTTTCATTTAGTTTTTCCCTTCCACCGTTTTGGTCGTGAGTAGTTACTTTGCCGCCGTTTTGGCACTCACAGCAACAGCGAAAATAGAGAGGAGGCGAACAGGCCACAAGGAGCAAAAAAAGAAAAAGAACAAAAAAAATGAGCCAGAGCGAAGCGGCGCTCTCATTTTCTAGTTCGAAATTCGAGAGAGCGCCCGGCTCACACATACACGCATACGCAGACCGCACAATAGAGCTGTCTCGCTTGCACTTGAGGAAAAAGAGCAAGCAAAGCAGGCAAATGGCGCACGCTAAACGCTGCAAAATACGTTTTTTAAACTTAAAAAGCCTTCAATAAACACAATAAATATACATTAATGCAAATGCACAAGCCAATGATTAATTTAATTTCACACAAGCAATACAAATGTCCAAACACACAGAAAGAATATGGCGTGTGTTGTGTTTGCATTAAGAGAAATTCACCACGCCGCCTTTTTAAAGTTGAATTCTTGTCATTCGGCATGATTCATTCGCTTTGTTTGTTGTTGTTACAGCGCTAATGCAAACGTCAAGCCAAAAAGGCAATAAAATGCACGTAATTCCAACTTTTCTACGTTTCTCACATTTTATTTAACACCCTCAACTAAGTGTGAAAGGGAGCGGAGAGAGATGTCAGCGAGAAAGAGGAAGAACGAACACACACATACGCATACAGTGGAATAATTTGCCTTTTGCCGATATTACTAAATGACAGTGGACAAATTGCATTCAAGTTGCATTTTAAAATCCATTGTACAGTTAATTGGAAAATCCCTGGTTCTCATTATGGTTTTTTTAATGTTTATAATAAGTTTGGTAATAAGTAGGTCAGCACGAGCACTTGTCTTTGCTTTTTAGCATCGATTTGTTTATTAGCCAGCTAGAGTTTTTGTTGATGTTGCGAATTTATTTACACTCACACACACACACACACACACAAACGGTTTTGTGTCGCCGGCCGGCAAGTGATGTTTTTTCTTCTCTTTTCATCTTTCTTTTTGTTTTTGATCGCTTTCACTTTGGGCTTTACAGTTATCAGCTGTATATTCAAAGCTGTATTTAATAGTCCGATTTGGCCCACTGTGTTTTTGTTAGTTGCCAAGTGTGCGTATGCAAGTGTGTGTAAGTGCGTTTGTGACGCAAAATTAAACGGAAGAATAACGAAACGAACACAAACGAAGGTAGACACCAGCAAGGCCAGCCAATGAATATGACGTATTTGGCTCATTCTAAACTCGCCTCGCCACACTTATAATTGGAATATTAGGAATAACAAATATTTAATACACATTAGCGGGCGACTCTCTCTAGCTCTCACAACAAAACAAAACATTTACTGGCCTCGTCTCAAACACACACACACTCTAAACACAGGAGAGAGATAGAGAGGAGCAAGAGAGCAAAAGCAAAAGAGCAGAGAGAGAGAGCGGGCGAACGTGCGGTTGTAATTATGTAGTACAGTAGACTTTGAGTTTTCAACAGAAATTCACGTAGAACGATACGATGACGTAGAGGAAGAAGCAGCAGTTGCGGAAGAAGAAGAAGCAGAGACAGCAATGGCATGCATTGGAAATGAAATTAGGAATGGGTGTTTCTATTAAAAACTATCCAGGATTGAAACTTATTTCATTATATTAATATTTTGTATTTTACTTGAAACTCTTCTTTAAAACTAAATACGGAATCCCACTTCATTTCAAACAAATAAACAAAGGTCAACAGTTTGTAGCAGGAAAAATAAACATTATTTTTATTTACCTCGCCAGCAGAAAGCTCTTTCACCAAGCACTCAACTCATTAATTAAATATTGTTATTTCTGTCCTGTTTAGAATCCATGCACTTGAACTACGGGCAAATATATCAATTTTATTTAAATAAATAAAATTCTCGAGTGAAGCACACAGACATACTAACGCACGCTCTCGGCTGAAAGTTAGTTGCAGCTGCTCAAGCGTGTGACAGAGCGAGACAACAGTAGGGGGCTACGTAATACGTAGCCAAATGCAAATATGGCGGCATGTCGCTTTCCATGTGTGTGTGTGTGTGAAGTGGCATTCGGACGAGGAGAGCATTTATTGTTGTAGGTTTTAGTGCCATCGTTGTGTATCTGCACAAAGAGCGAGCGAGCGAGTCTGATAAAGAGGCAACGGATGGAAGGGGGTGGAAAAGGGGAGCTGCCTCTAGGTTAATAAATCGTGCTAATAGTGGCACGAATTTAAAGCCGGTTTACATGGCAACATGCAGCAAATGCAGAAGCCGAAGAAGAAGCAGAGGCATCAGAAGAAGTAGCAAAAAAATGAACAGCAGGGCACCAAAAAAGCATCAATGAATTCACAGCTCGGGAGAGAGTTAGAGAGAGAGAGAGCGCGAGCCGCCGCACCGCAATCGCAATTTTGCGCTTATTTACGATAAACATATCTTCAATTTAGCGCCCGACAAGTAAACAAACAAATTGCGTTTGACTATTTACGCGCCAACCAGCAAAGTGCAGCAGCAACAACAGTTGCACTCAAACGAGAGCGAATAAACGAAAATCCTAAATGCCGGTAAACAAAATTGTACATGTCTTTTATAGGAAGAGAGAAATGGAAATTGGGAGAGGGCGCGAAGATATTTGCCATGTAATAATGCCAGATACTATTTTCACAAAATAAAAGAATATCTCTCAATATGTGAAAGTGAAACGAATAAAGTACTAATTTCAAATCTTTCCAACAAGTCACATCTTTGGACCATAAACTAATGTTTAATACAAAATTCAACTCAACTGCAAATATTTTACTGATTTTAACTGTTAGGTTTGCTACCTAATCATGTTAATTAAAATGTTATTAAAAATCATTAATTATGCTATTAAAAAAATATTGATTCTAGTCATTCGAATATATTATGCTAAAACAAAAATCATTTAAAATGCTTTACTTTCAAATACGATATGTTGTTGCATTCGTGTTGAAAAGAAACTATGATCAGTACAAGTTGAAGATTAATTCGAAATCATACTATAAACATTTGGTAACTCTGTTAGTTTACAAGAATATTGTCAATAAACATGGAATGCACTTTTCCAAGGGCATGGGGAAAAAGGGGTTGTTGCTGCAGTTGAGAAAATCCGGGGAAAAGCAGCTGTCCTGTCAAAATTTCCCTCCATTTTGCAGGGTTGCTGACCCCTAAGCAAATACTCGAAAACTAGCAGAAACTGCAAATAGTCCTTGGGGCAAACCAAAGAGGCACGCTTACATCTTTTTCCACTGTGTGATGGTGGGCGGCTAAAGGTGGGAAGGCATGGTTAAAGCCACGTGCGCTGCACTTTTTAAACTTACTTTTACTTTGGATTTCTTCGTTCTTCTTGTGTTCTTTTTTCTTGATTAGATCCACACGTTCTGTTACTGTTTATCCACTTTTATGGGCGAATATATATCCGAATGACTTGATTTTGGCTTTGTTATGGCTGCTGGATGTTGATGTTGTTTTTGTTGCTGTTGGTTTAGCCAAGTTTAGCTGGTCGGTTTTGTTTGTTTGTTTGTTGTTGTTGCTTAATATCGCATTATTTTGTTGCTATTGTTGTTGTATTTAAATTGAACATATACAACATACAGATTGTACACGATTGTTAAAAGTTGCAACTGTAAAAATAAAAACAAAAAATATTGGTCACTTCTGGCACTATTTTTTTTCTCCCGATTTTTGGATTTGCGCGCGCGAGAGAATGAGTGCGGTGCGAAGAGAGAGAGAGAGAAATCCCTAGCGACAAATGTAACGTAACCCACAACGTAAGCGACTTCTGTACGTCACCGCGCTACGTAGGAAACGTAACGGTATGCTAACGTTACCGACGGCGCCGCAAAACCGCTAAATCAAAAAATACAATAACAAAATCGACAAAATTATAGATTTTCAACGTGCACGTCGGTTTCTTTTCGCTTGCGAAAAACAACAAGCGCTAGTATACTTTGCTTTTGTTTTTTCTCATTTCGAGTGAAACTTTTCGCGCGCTTCTGCGTGTGTATTCATCTTTTTCGTTTTTTTTTATTTGTTAATATTATTCACTTGGTGACTACACACGTTCATGCTCATGCCCTCACTCGACACACACTAACACGCACACACACTAACGAACGTTTCTGCTTCTTCCTCTTCTTTCGTTCGCTTTTGTTCCACCACCGAAAAAAATGAAAAAAAAAAAAATGTCATGTCCATTGAAGTCTCACATTTTTCAAATGCATTTTTTGGCGCTAAAATCGTGTAAATTCCAATATTTTTCCATTCGCATCGGATGCCCCGCAATTAGAACTCCACTCCAAACACAAATATATATAATTTTTGCCATTTTTTACCACAATTTTTAGTAATTTCTACACACCGATATATACGTACGCGCTACGATTTTTCGACAAACGCGCGAGTTTCTTCTGAGTCGCCATCAAATATACAAAATTTTTTTTTCGAAATTACTGAAAATGCGAATACACACGCACACATGGACAGCCGACTGGCACGAGGCGCACGCGCTTGCTACATGCGGCTATGCCGCTCTAGCGCACTGCTTTTATTGATAAATCGAGAGTGGGACAGCTAGCGCTACCGGCCGAGAGAGAGAGAGTGAGAAGCGCCTTCTGTGTGAGTGTGTGTGGGAGAGAGCCAGAGAGCAAAGTAGTCACACATACTCGCACACAAGCTCTTAGTGGCATTCGTTCTCTCCTTTTCTCAACCATTTGCACGTACTTTTAGGTTTTTCATATGGATCTTTGGGGAATTCACAAGTAATTTACACTTATGCTGTTGCTAGTATCTATCGATTTATACTGGTAGAACCGAAATTCGTCGGCTACTTTACATTAATTTCGTAACGTAAACGCAACAAAAACAAGACTGTCATCGATATAAGCAGGCGTTTTTGTCTGAAACTATCGGGCAATGAGGTACTTCGATGACCAGAGTTATTTTACGTACTTTTCGATAACTTATCGGATTGTGTTAGCGAGTACAACCGCCCATGTTAGCAGAGACACAGCCCACCTTAACTTTCCAACACTTTTGCTAGGCTCGGTGTGACCAGAACTATTAAACAACACTAGCACATCGATGGTAAGTATCGATCAAACATCGACCGATGTTCCACCCCCTGCTGACACCATCTGGTAACACTGAACAACAGACCAGATCCGCGGACAAAGCAAAGCAGTAAATATTAATTTAATCCAAATCCGATTCCCGACTCCAATTGGCGGTCTACTGCTGCTGCTTCAGCAGTCCATTGTTTCTTTTTTTTTTTGGTTTGCCGTGTCAAATAGAGTTGAATTCGCTGATTTAGCGAATAACGGTGGCAAGTAACTGTAATAACTGCGTGTGTGCACAGTGCTAGTGTTTCAGTGTGTGCGTGTGAGTGTGAGTGGGAACTCCACAAGTGTGCGAGAAGGCAAATCAAAATAAGAAAAGTGCCGCCCTGATGGAAATTAATATCGCGAATAACCAGCGAAAACGCAGCGAAAGTTGAACTAAAGTGTTGCGATTAATCAGATAGCGGGTGAAATAGTGTGGATTACGTAAGAAATCAATGGATTCCGGGCTGCATTTGGCCCAAAAAGAGGAAGCAACATCGAAGCGCTACCTTAATTCTTCTTTTTTCGATGATTTCATTCGCAGTGACGACACACAGGCACGCACACACAGAACGCTGTATCTGTGTGTGGGTTGTTTGTAGAGCTAAAAAATAATGAATCCTCACGATACATTCATTCGTTTCTTTTTTTGTATTATTCATTATTTATTTATTTGACTACATATCGGCGACTTCGCGACGCCAGTTGTTGATTACGCCCGCTCCCATTTCATTGCAACTTCCCCCACCCCACCGATCATGCACTCGAACTCAAAATCGAGTAGAGTACGTAGGCAGGAGCAAAAAGAGCGTGCAGAAGTGAAGAACTCAGGGGCGCCCGCAGGGATTTCTCAGGGGGGTGTGGTGGATGCGGCACAGACCTCACAATTAGTTGTCAACTTTTAAAACAGCTAGGCAAATATGAACCAACTGTAACCTAAAGTACAAAAGCAATTTTACCAAAACAATGTTTAGCTATCGAAAAAATATGAAATCCTCTGCACGCCGCTGGTTTAACCAGTACGCCCACATGTGGGAGGCCCAGATGTGGCTCGTTTTTGGCCCAGTGGGTGTGGGCGTCCATCCGTGGTTGAAACTATGCGCTGCAGATGCTGTTTATTCAGGTTATTTGTTAGCTAGTGCACAACTCATAACTTTTATATACCCCAAGTGACTGAGTGTATAAATGATAATGATATGAAATTATTAGAAATTATACATATGTATAATTATACATATTATACATATATGCAATGCCAGGGTATAAAAACATTGGCTTGACCGTCTTTAGTTTGTTTTTCTGCTGCAAATCGAACTCTGTTGTCCGTTGTGTGTTGTGTGTGCGTTTAAAAATAGCTGACCAACACAACACCCATACGTATACGTAATCTGCAGCCCTTTTTTTGCTGTTCCGTGAATCTGGAATATGGAATTTTGATAAGTGTCTTGAGTGGATTGGAGTGAGTGATTCATGATATTTTACGTGGAAAGGAACTCAGCGAAGCTGACTCAATGACCACTCATTGTTCGTTCGGCCTTTGTTTACATTTTGCCAGGAGCAAAGAGAGCAAGAAAGCGAGAGGGGGGAAATAGAGAGCGTGCTAACGGAACGTGCTCGACTGAGTAATTCGCATTGCATTTGACGTTGACCGAAAGCTCTCTTCCTTCCGCTTTTTTCCTTTTCTTTTTTTTCGGAGGCCAACAGAAAACAAGAAAAGCACGCACGCACACCCACACACGAATTCGTACATCAGTCGCTTGTGTGTGTGTGTGCTTGTGAGATGAGTCATCTGGCCAAGTTGATGAGAAAATAAAATTGAACATTAAGGTAGAGCAAAAGAAACAACAAAAAAGGGGGCAGATGTGCGGCCATTTGCTGTTGTTTGTTGTTGCAATAAAAACAAAAAGCAGGGCAGGCGGTGAAAGCAGTGCTCAACAAGCAGTGCAGCCAGCAGATGGATTTTTACGTACACCGGCGTTCGCAAAAATTGCATCGAAACCGAAAAAGACTAATTGTGACCTTAAAATACATGAAAAATTAAGGCATTTACAAAAAATAAAATTAATTAGGTAGCCGTCGAAATTGAAGTGAAGCACGGGCTCTATTATTATTATTATTATTATTATTTCTTCCCCAACTATGGCTTTAGTGGAAAATGTAATCATTTCAATTCACTTACCATTGCAGCCGGCGCACAGAAGTGACAGAGACAGAGCACACATAGCACCTGGCACATCCAAGGATATCCGATCCTCCTGCGTCCCAAGCCACCATCAACCACAACCTGCACCAACCGCTAACCGCTAAAGCCATGATCCTCGAGAGAAACCGGAGGAGCCAGCTGGCCCTCCTCCTGATCGCCCTGCTGGCCGCCATCGCTGGGCAAACGGAGGCCCAAAAAGCGGCTAAACAGACGGCAGTGAGCACCTGTGCATCGAAGGAAAAGTGTCACACCTGCATCCAGACTGAGGGTTGCGCCTGGTGCATGCAGCCGGATTTTAAGGGCCAGTCGCGGTGCTACCAAAACACCAGTTTATTGTGTCCGGAGGAGTTCGCCTACAGTCCAATAACGCTTGAGGAAATTCTAGTGAACAACAAACTAACGAATGAAAACAAAGTGGCTGGTGGCGGCGGCTACTCCATGTCCGGCGAAAGCTCAAACACCTGGTCGAGCTCCTACTCGGAGAGCTCCAGCTCCAGCTCCAGCTCCAGCTCAAGCTTATCAGGATCCAATTACGAATTCAGATCTGCCGGTGAAATTGTCCAAATCCAACCGCAGTCCATTCGACTCGCATTGCGCGTCAGTGAGTAGCAAACGATTGCATTATCCATGCCCTATACATACTAATCGCTTACATTCTCATCAATTCCTTAGATGAGAAGCACAACATCAAAATTAGATATTCTCAGGCGGAGGGATATCCGGTGGATCTCTACTACTTGATGGACCTCTCCAAATCCATGCAGGACGACAAGGACAAGTTGTCTACGCTGGGCGACAAGTTGTCCGAGACCATGAAACGCATCACCAACAATTTCCATCTCGGTTTCGGTTCGTTCGTGGACAAGGTGCTCATGCCCTATGTCTCGACCATTCCAAAAAAGTGAGTATGACCTAAAAAAACGGAAAAGCATGAATTTGAAATAGGTCAGATATATCATTTTGCCGATTGAAGACCAGATGTCGTCAGTTTATGATGCATTCTTCAAGGCCCTTTAAATTTTTTGTAATTTTATAATTATACAGCGGTTTTTTGAATTTTTTAAAATTTTCGTTTGTATTATGTGTAAGTCCCTCTAGTCATGACGATAGACTTATCATAGCAACTCAATTTAAGTTTAATTTTAAGTCATAGTCATATCCTATTTGTCAGCGCTTCTGTAGCAATTACGCTTGACTTAAAAGAAATAATAATAAATTGATAATGACAGCATCACCATGACAGCATTATCAAAACAGAATTCCAAAAAGATTTCTTATCGCTTACTTTAGAGCGAAATACATAAATTTCTAACTCATTGGCTATATTTAATAAAAGTTGAGCTCAACAGTCTGTGTATTCCTTCGCTGTATGTCTACTTTTGAGCTAATTTTATTTAATTTAACATACCACAACAGCCGCTAACTTTGTTACTTATTTATATACTTAAAACCAAACCATGAACGAACACCAACAAACAACATCAACGATCGACGGAATCGAATTGACTCGAATCCATAGACTCGAGCATCCCTGCGAAGACTGCAAGGCTCCCTATGGTTACCACAATCACATGCCACTCAACAATAACACCGAAAGCTTCTCTGTAAGAGACGATTAATGTATACTGCACACGTATAATCCCACCCAATTGTGCTTGCTCCCCTCCCCCCATATCAATATCAAATACCAATTTATGAAGATTTGAATTATTTATGTGCATGTTTTCCCATTATTCTATGTGGTGACCCTATCCCATCTATGGCTTCCATTGCACCTTCTAGTTTAAGTGCTATTCTTAAGTGTTTGTGCACATTTTGACATTTTTATCCACTCTCTGTATACCTTATATGCTGCACATAGCATAAGCATATAGCATTTAGCATATAGCATAGCATATAGCATTTAGCATATAGCATAGCACATGCTTATAGCATATAGCATACGAGCCCCTACCAATATTATTTCGAACTGCATGTGTTCATTTTTTTTCTTATCTCTGAAGACAACCTTTTGCATAAATTACTCATATTTTTGATGTTGAAAATAGAACAACATGATTTTATCATCGTAAAGACAATAAAATTCTCTTTCAGAGAAAATACATTGGCATACGTTATCTGCAATAGTATTGAAAATATCGTTTGTTTAAGATTGCGCACTGCAAAAAACACATGCTGTTCGAATTAATAGTGGTTGAGGCTCGTATCGTATCGTATCGTATCTATATCGTAAAGTATCTGCACTACTGGATGTTGTCATTTATTTATATTCTCTCTTGTATTCTCTCTATTTCTTTATTTCATTGTGTACGCATCACTTTCTCCATATATAAATCTGGCCTATATAAATTGTACATGTGCATTTGAATATGACCC